ACCATCTGTACAAAAAATTACGAAAATTCAAAAGTTTTTTTTCCAACTCTTTATTTTGAAACAAAGGATTAGAAGAGTTTCTTGCTCAGTTGCTCGACACTTTTTTTTGAAGTATTTTGCTCAAAAGTATTTTACTCCTGGGCAGAATTCCCCACCCTAAATTCCGCTTTTCGAAATATGCAATATCTTTTGTAATAAAAAGAACTGACATGTTACCGAAAAAAAAATTCGAGAAGCTGAAAAAATTTTTTGATTCATTTTTTAAAGTCAAAAAGCAAACATAAAGAAGCAAATACCGTCAAAATTAAAAGAAATTAGGGAACTGTCAAGCCCTCATTACAAGATTCTGCTTTCAAACAATGCACCAAAAAGCCAAATTTTATGTCAAGGCACAAGAAAATTATTTATTAAAAAAATTGTTTGCAGTTAAGCGTTGCAGATTTGTTCACAAGAAATTATTGGGAAGTTATTAAAAAATCAGTAGTAGGTTTTTTTTAATTTTGAAATTGTAAGAAAATCACTTTTTTTGAGAAAATTTTAAAGGTTAATTACAAACATTTATGTCTCAAACGTTTAACGTTTATTTCGCAAATTTTGTACAACTGCGAAGATGCTCCGAGTTTTCTTTTATGTCTCACATCAAGCACAGAATATTAGCCTTTACAAAATTAGCTTGGACGAGTCCAGCTAAACGCGTAACAAATCTAAACAAATTTGATGCTCCCCAGAATATTCGGTGAGCAAATGCACCAAACCATTCTGTTACTTAAATTCTGTAAAACAAGAAAAAATTTAGACGTTAAAGTAATATTTTGCAAATAAAGTCAGCATTTAAGAAAAAAATGCAACCGGAAGATACGAAATGGAATTTTGCTGGTTAGATAAATACAACGTCACGCAAAGAGCATACAGTGTCTTCGCAGCAAATAGCTAGAATTCTCTTTTCGCGTGCTTTTCGAAATCACCAAATAAAACACTGCATGCAAAAGAAAAAGCAATTAATTCATTGATTGTCAGAATCCTCTTTTGCGCATGCACATACTGTTAAGCCACTTTACAAATGTCTACTAATGAGATACCCATCAGCGGCATACCAAGAAAAACTCTGAAGCACGCTAAACATTCGAGCTCTCCATGCTTTTGAGCGCTGTGGTCAGCTGATTATTGCGGAAATCCCGGCCAAAATGATTAAGCTAAATGCACGGCACATATATGCTAGATGCAGCACAGGCATTTTTAAGCAATATGCGTACGAAAACAGCAAGCGCGAAATTATAATGCAAAAGCAATAGGCACAAAAAAACGCTGCACAGTCGATCGCCAAAGCGCATAAAGAAGCACTTGTGCATATAGACACTAATTAAATAAGTTACTTTTTTTCGAATTTGTTTGCATTTTATAAATTATTATTCAAATATAAGTCACTATCACCGCATCGCCAGCATCCAGGCACATTCTCACAGATGCGCACACGCACATACCGTAATTTAAAAATTCTTGTGCCCTTTCTCATTTACATAAATCGAGCAACAACAACCTGCAGCTGAAATTATACAATCACTTTACAAAGCTGCTGCTGCAGCTGCGCAATAGCTTTCTGTTTTCTCTGACTTTCATGTGTTACTGTAATTAAGCTACATAAGCACAAAAGATGTGTTAATATGATGTATGCCCATGGCGCAAATGTTAAACACGGTGATAAATAACAAAATACAATTGGCAAAAGCGATGAGGAGGGGGAGTGTGAGCGAGTGAGCGCATTGGTGGTGCGAACCAATGAAACAAAAGAAATATTTCATCAAATGTGTGGCATGGTAACTTACTGATATGATACGGTAATCGT